CCCCCCCCCCCCCCCCAATTATTGCGTCTAGTTACGGCCCTGCTTACTGGATCTCTAGAGAGAACAGTTTAGAATTGATAGAGCTAGCCTATCCACTTCACACTTGGCATGCAGTGTGAATTGAACTAGTTCCATTTTATTGGAGCGCTGTGTCTGGGAATTCTTGTACGTGATAATTAACAAGCCATAGATGATAAACGCTCCTGAGCGCTGTGAAAAGATGCGTGTTCAATTGCTGCAATAAAATACTTGAAACATAAGCATGCTATCATCGGCGCTATGCAATAACGCAGCGTGTATTTATTACAGCCAGACACAGTAGACACTTATTAAATTATTATAGTAATGCTAAACATAGTCGTCAAGCTGACGATCAAGCTCAGAATTTCAGTTCATAAATTACCTGTTGAAACTGGTCGATATAGCAATGTTCCATACGATAAGAGAATTTGTCAACAATGCGATTTAAACGAGATCAGAAACGAACGACAAGGTTACTGATCTTAGAGGAAATAGAGCAGATTTTTGTCTAGTATATATTAGCTTAACCAAATGAATCACTCGCTTTTTCTTTTGTTCTTTTTTCGGGGTTAATTTTTTATTAATTAATTATTTTCCCATGGCTATTGTATAAAAATAGCTACTTTTAAAAAATATATTACAATTACCGATTTAAAAGATTTTGGGCTATAGAGAGACCTACGAAATCTTCATATAGACTTTCTACTTATAGGCCTCTAGTTCCTGTTCGTTTGAAAATCAATTATTTACAGTGAATACAATAGTCAATATGTAAAATCAGAAAGTTTTGAAGTATATATACTATATTTATACACGAGAGAAAAAGAAGGAATATATTCGTATTACATAAATTAATACTTTCGTTCTCTCAATATATAATCATGACGTACCTGTTTATGTACATTGGTAGCCTGACCATGACCTGTTTATGTACAAGTATTGCCTTGATATCCTAACATATTTTGATCAATTATAACCGGTATAATTCTAAGTTTTAATCTAGTCTCTTTGTAAATTTAATATGTTTTTATTCTATGTACTATAGGATTGGTATATATAGCTTTGTTTCGATACCGTATCCCACCGGGCACACGACGTTGTTTCAACGTTGAAATTTGGTAGAAAAAAGGTTGCGACGTCGACAACATAATATCTACGTTGCTCTGACGTTGTTTTACAAACATTGGTTCAACTGCAGCCAACAGACGTTGAATTAACGTTCATTCATGGTTAAATGTACGACGATGATTTGTGAACCAATCTCAACGTTGTTTTAACG